GCGTAAGGATTTTAGAAAAAAGTATCGTCTTATAGTCAGAAAAATATAGTAATTGCAGTCTTCTCCAGTTGGAGATTTCATTCATTACAAACAATCGAATATGCACAAGAAATTATACTATTCTTCCTACCTACATGAGTAGTCCTAACAAATATTATAAAGCAGTGGAGGATTTGGCTATGTAATATAGGAAATTACCTCAAATTAATATAGCTATATAAGACCCTGATAAAAATGTTGTACAATTTCAAAAAATAATAAAATAAAGTCTTTACATTAAGTGCTTTATTTTTATATTAATTTTAGCCTGCAGTTACCTTTTTCTTTTCATCATCTGGGTAAGTCCAAAAAGAGATACAATTTCCAGAAAGAGCACACCAGCGTCGATGCCAAGCTCCAAACCCACTAACATCTTCAAACATAGTCTAGAGAGAGAGGGGAAAAAATATTTCTGAGCATAGTCATTCCACCTCATTTGTTTGTAAACATGGTCAGGCTCTGCACACATACCAGCTCAGCCTGTTACAGTTCCTATTGCTGCTTGGTTTGACTGCCATACTCCAGGTTTCAGCAAATCTCTTCTTTGGACCTAACTGCATTAATACTAACTTCATTAACTACATTTGGTCATTCTTTAATCATCTCATACTGGCCACTGTGTAATCAGCACTGAGTAGTTGAGAATATATGTATTTCTATCTGGCTTTTCTTTTATGTATCAAAGCCAACTTATACTACCACAAAGGCCACCTGGTTAAAATGGCAGTATACAACCATAAAAAATAGATTAAATAAAATAAACATAATCACTGTGCAAAAGATTTGTAGAATTCATAGATTGTTTCAACAAAGCCTTCTTAAAGATGCAATCAATGAAGCACAATACTTTTAAATAACTACTTTGATCTTGGGAGTATGAGCAATTTTTATTGCACATATTGCCATCTAGTGGAGTCGGGAATATTTAGGCAACTACAATTATTTGTTATTTAATAGCTGCTGTAATACTGGTATGTGCTTTTCTAACCAGAACTTAGAGAACCACATAATGTTGTTGGAAAGTTTACCACAGTCACAAAGAAAACAGTTTTAGAAACCCTACCTATCAGGAAAAACTAAGACCAAGATCTCATTCTATATTAAAATAGGTGTGATAACTTACCAAAAAACCTCTCTCTTCTACACAAGAATTTACTTGACATTTAATCTTTAGATGTATATGGCCTTCCAGAGGAGATAAGAAAGGAACCTGAAAAATGGGTAGATGAAAGCTTAGAATAATCTTATCCCAAATTTGCTTTAAAAAAGAAAAAAAGTTGATTCCTTTTCCATTGATCAATGATTCCTAGTATGCATCAATGGCATCCTCAAGACTACAAGCTTCTTCATAGTTTGAGATTCCACAAACAATCTTAATCCTGAGATTCCAGAAACTATTTTGAATGTTTCCATTACCTGAAAAGAAGCAGCAATCTGCACATTTGAGAGCCAGATATTCAAGAAAACCCATGAACCAGAAGCAAAGGTCCCTACTGTTAAAGTTATCACCATACTTATGGAGAAAGAAAAGGATATATATACAGTATACATATTATTGCAGAGATGGGCATTTGCATTACAAACCTTGATATGGCTTTTAAAATATTTTTGGCTTACTGGGAAGAAACTTAGTTTTCTACCAAATTTAGTAACACTTAAAACCTAACAGACTGATTTAAAAAATACTTTTTAGCCTCAGCAGACATCTGCAGCAGTCTAGTAGGAACGTTGTGCATATTGCTGCATCTTGTTATATGAATTCAGGATTTGGGATTATTTCAAATGTTTGCCATAAATGCATTCTAATTATGATTAAGAGTTCCCTTCCATGAACTACCGGGATAGAAGTTGAAAGGGATTACATATCCTCATAGGCAATGAAGCAACATGTTATTTCCATTATCCACCCAAAAAGTATTTAGCTAGATGTTCTGGATCATCTCCCTCCAAGAATTAAAGATAGTGTGGAAGTTCTATAGTCAGACAGCTTAAAGAATTGGGAAGTGTGCCTTGAAAAACAAGCATATGGATATACTGGGGTAGCATTTTTCTTCTACGTATTAATTGTGATTAAGTATATCTTTTGAACTTTCAATTACAGGCAACATCAACTAGCAGGCGGCATCCCTGCTTCCAGCAAAAGACAAACACTTAAACCTATATGTTACTGAACAAATTAAAAAGTCCACTCTCCCCAAGAATGCAAGACAGCATGCTTGAAGGACCAAATCATATTATCCAAACTTAACTTATATCAATGTGGCAAATTTTAAATAGCCAATCTGAACATATTCTGCAATAAATTGTAGCAAAACGTTACTCTTGTTCATCTATTTAATAAAATGAACAATGTCCCAACAAGGCAAATCTGAATTCCACCTTGATGATCACTACTCTTCAGTAAACATTAATAGTTTTTTTTTTTTACCCTTGCAGTATAATAGTATCAAATTTTGTGTCTTAAACTGAGCCAGCAATCTCAGTTTGGCACTTGTAATTAATTTTATTTTACATTGTGGTTCCAGATTGAAAGATGGCATCCCTAAATATATTTGAGAAACACAAAGATACTTAACTCCCCTAGCCTGTTCTCCTTTCCAACTCCTTATCTTAGCAATGCCCTTCTTTGACTTTGTTTTTGTTCTGCTGTGGTTCTCTCTCACTGCAAATTTCTTTAGCGTCTGTCAGTACAGTATAGGTGTGATACCTATTATTTTATTTTTTTAAAAAAAAGATTCATATAGCAGCCCATATTGTAAGAACCACCCTGGGTGGTGAACAAAACTAATGATAACTAGTTTTGGCAATGTCAGAAGCAAACAGCCTGAAATCAGACTCATCTGTTATCATAATAAGGAAAGGTAGAAACCACTCCTTCCACCAAAAAAGAAAAGCCTCAAGCCTATTGCATCATGTGGAATGGAGAAAAAGATGAAATAATGTGAAGCTTGATTTTACTATAATTAGGACTTGCACTTGATATACAGTAGTCGCTGGAAATCTTTCATATCAGTTTCTTCTTCTTCTTCTTTTTTTACAATTAACCTACTTATTGGTGATTTGTACCCTTGGATGCCTGTGTGCTCCTGCTTCCAGTAGTAATCTTTGTCAAGAGATACCTGACAATAATCCAGAGAGCCAAACTAGCCACATAAAATAATCTGAGTACTACATTTATGAGAACTATGCAAACACTGAAGCAGGGGCATAATTAGGCAACAACCAATTTCAAAGAACTAAGCAGCGGAACCAAAGTGCTCAGAGTCAGCTTCCTGCGATGGGGTTGGTTGCCCCTCCTCTCACTCAGCTCTCTAGAAGATAGAGGGCAGAGCCTCCTCTCATGTGTAGCCTCCAGAGCTTCAGAGATGACACCACCAGACACATTCAGCAGAACTGTACCACTGCTCCTTACCATTTATATCGCTTGCTATATGTTGTTGAGCAGAGAGATGCCTCCATCCAGAAAAACCTAATAACCAGTTCTCATGGACCAGACCAAACCAACTAGATAACACCCCAGCTTTGAAACTCAATGCACAAGGGAAAAAAAAGTAGTCTGCTATGCCACCCCCAAGGGTATATATCGGTGGAATCTGTTTCAACAGAAAAATGAGCAGAGGAAGTCCACCCAGGAATATAAATTGAAATCTTTATTGTAACACAAAATTAACAAAATAATCAGTATTTATGCATCAAAAATTATTCACATTAGCTCCCTCGTCTTTCATTTTGAGTGAAACATTGAAGAATCACCTTCTTTCATTTTGCAGGTCAACAACACTCCTTGTACAGTCTACACGTACATTTCCTCAGAAACTGTGACAAATTTATCTACTTGCAAGTATTCAGCTATTTATGACTTGCATGTCTATTCAAAAGGAGCGCAACCTTTTTGGTTTTAAACTGCTGTATCACTAACAAAGAAATGGCTTCAGTAGTACAATAATATATGGTTAATATATTTTCCTAATCATCTTTATCAAAATCAGTACATAAAAACAGGTCTAGGTTTTGCTACACAGCATTCAAAAAACAAAACCTGAATTGTCTGATGCTCGAGTCAAGATCCTATAATGCTTTAAAGTGATCAAGTCTATAGATTATATAGCAATTTTATGCCTTGATTTCAGTTTTTTAAATTTAAACTGTATTTGTCCTATAATTAAAGTAGACAGTTCAGTAATTCTTGATAAGATAGGACTCATGCAGAACTTCAGATGGACATAGAAGTATCATACTGAAACTAGGACACCAAAGCTTTATTTCACATAGATGATCTTTTACTTCTTACAAGATTGATATGTACTATATATGTACATAGATACAGGTAGCTCCACTGTTCATGCAGTAAGATACTGCAGCTTTCCTGTACCAAAAGGGCAAATCTAGTTCTAGAAAAAAAGACTAATTTTGATAGGTTTTATGCTTGATACATAGATCATTTCTATTTTTACAAGCATATCAGAAATCTGGCTAGCAACCTTGGTGACATCTTTTTAAAAAACCTGGCTAACACAATCTGGTTCAGACAACCCACCTCCAAACATTATCTAATCTTCTGGCAATTTTATTACAAGGCCACCAACACTCATTGTTCAAGTTTCAGAAGGCCAGTTACCAAGCTTATTAAATTAAAGTTAATTTTATAAATGTTACTATCTGTTATTTTCAGCTGCTGAGTAAAGGCATCAAGGAAAGACTCCAAGGCAAAAAGCATTTGCTTCCCAACATGCAAAGCAAATAACTGATGACTAGCTATTGTTATTTCTGAAACTATCAGTTATACAGCCATGGAAACCATGGACTTAATACAGATTTGCTTGGCACCCAATACTTAAGAAGTATGAAGTGCTCATTACAGGGACATTCTTTCTTTTTGACCAAATCTACAATATGAACATTATAAAGTGGTCCTTAAAGCAGCTTGTCAATCTTGCTGCAAAGAAAGTTTAGTGACAAGACACAGACAGCATGCATGTTGAGTTTTTGTTTTTTTTTAAAGAAAATAACAACCTTATCCTGGAACAAATAACCCAGTAGCTCTCTTTCCTTAATTCCATAACTTATCTAGAAAAAAAGAAAGAAAGAAATGGGGAATGCTGAATGCAACTAAAAGCAAAAGAGAAAAAAGATGAACATGGCAGTCTAGGTCTGCTTATGAGCATTTTGACAGTCTTTTGCTTTTTAAACTGTACATTAAAGCCACATATCCAACCCACCCAACTTCCTAAGAGGAACAAAGTTACAGAAATGCTTCCATGTATCTAATAGCCAAGACAGAGAATACACACTCATGCTCACAAATGAAGTCCCTTTGGGACTTGCACTCGTATGAAAGTTTGCTTCCAAATACAAGTTTCTATCCTAACAAAAACTGTATGATTATTGTATAATTCAGAAAATAAATAAATTTATGAATTATGGCTGGTATTTTTACACAGAGAGCCAGTGTGCTGTAATAGTTAGAACACTGGGCTGGGGAGAAGTCCTCACTGAGTCATGGAGTTCACTGGGAGATTTTGAGCCAGTCATTTTCTTCCATTTCAGCTTACTTCACTAGGTTATTATGAAGCTAAAATGATGAGTGACTTAATATACCCCATAAACTCATTTCAGAAAATGTAATAAATAAATAATCTTTTCAATACCACCACTACCAACTCCCCCTTAAATGTATAAGACCTAAAGACAATATTAAAATATAACAATTCCTGCATTAACCTTGAAGGGAATACTTGTACTCTTAGGAAAGGGAGAAAAGGATCAGCGTTGTTAAATTACTGTTATGTTCATAGGGATTTAAAATTGGCAACACAACATAACTAATTTGTCATATCTAGCTCTATGCATCAAATAGTGTTAAGGAATGCATGATAAAAAAAGTAAATATGCTTTCGTTTGGGGAAGTATCTTCTGATCAAAAACTGATCCAGAATACTATAAAAAGGGGAATAAATAAAAGTTTTATCTTCTACTAAAAGAATATTACTTTTATGGAGACAAAACTTTATGTTTTGATCTTTCTAATATTCTGGAAGGGGGAGGAGGAGGAGGAGGCGGTGGCAGAGGAACAAATTTGATCTGTGGAATAAGGAATCACAATATCCAGTCTTGGAAAATCAATGGGTTCCAAGTGTTAAGATACTGTATGTTAATGACTAAGGGATAAAATTAATTCATCAGAAAATCTTGTTCCATGTTTATTGGGCTTCCCAAAAAATGTTTTTAAAAGGGTGGATATCAGATTTTTTGTGTTGGTGCTATGAGAAAATTAAGGACTCTAACTCATACGATCTGGTTGTACCTGTTATGGTTTTCTTTGGTTTTCAAGTCATCACATGTGAAGGAGTAAAACAAATATCTAAACCAAAACTTCCAATTACCAAGGCCCTGAACTCAAATGACCTCCTTAATAATTTGCTTAGGCATTTGCAGGTGCTGGCTCGCAAGTTAGCTTAAATCAGCACCTGTATTTTTAAACAGGAACTAGGAAGTAACTAACCACAAAAGCTGACTCGTGCCAACCTCCATTTTATTAACTATGTATTCTCACTATAAGCTGAAAATCTAACCCACGTTATCAAAAATAAGATGATTGGCATTTGACATCATTACTGGTCAGCATTAATTATACAACTATATAAAGGTTGTTTGTATCTTCCTTAAGTAGGCAGGACCTTGTGGTTTGCCCCAAGTGCTGTTCAAATAAACTTGGCTCAAGCAGATCATGTGTTCTCCAGTTATAAATTGGGTTTTGGGGAAAGGAAACAACACTCCTGATGTCAGAGTGGATTCAAGAGGTACATTCTTTGTCAGTTTTTGAAATGTTCTTACATTGTAAAAATGAGAAAGTGGACAAGTATGATTTAATAATTTGTTAAAGGACTAAACTAGTTAAATATTAATTCTATATTAATACTATTAGTATTTCTTCTTTCTCCATTTAAAGTTTTAATTCATTTTAATCACTATTAAGCATATATCTTTATTATATATCACTAATAGCTTTTGTTATATTTCACTGTATTATTTTATCTGTCTGTCTGTTTGCCTGCCTGCCTGCCTAACTATCTCTAAACAGAACAGCCAGTACTTTCATATCAAAATGTATTCCTGACTGTATCAGGCTTCCTTCATTTCAGCAGTATAAAAATTAAGGCAGGGCAGTCATTCTGTTTGTTATCATTAAAATAAATGCAAGTAAGAAATTCCTGACAATCTACTGCAAATCATCAAAATTTATCATCAATAATAGGTCCATATATACCTTCTACTGACCTCTTTATTAAACTACTATAATTTAAAGTGGTAGTTTGGGAAAAACAAAAACCTAAATTAATTAATTACCTTGTCCAGAAGAAATCTGGTACTCCCAACTGAAGACAGTGAAATTGTATGTGAACCAACAAGAACAAAGTTACTGGTGCGCACAGAATTAGGTCCACCTGGACTGGACATAGCTATGAAAATAAAAAGATGACTAGAGATGTAATCTTTATTCAGTTAATGTTACTGGTTAGATTTTCTTTATAAATTAAATATTTAATTGATTAAATTAGATAACATTTAGTTTATAAATGTTATATCCCCTTCTTTATTCTCATACAGTAATGAGAATATATATCCCCTTCTTCATTCTCATACAGTAAGAAATGCCACCAAGATGGCATTTTACACATGAATATGTTTTGGGATAAATATAATACATACATGAGCAATCTAAACACAAAGGATGCATTTTATTCAGAAATATTGATAACCATCTCAAGTAACAAATAGATACAAAGTTATTTAATTGATAACAGCATATGTATTGCACATGAAATATATCAAGAATTGAAAACTGAGGAACTAGTCACTATACACGCTATACAGTGTGTCTGTGTGTGTGTGTTTAAAATGGCCATGGACCCAAATCATAAACTTCTTGTTTGAAAATAGCTATTGTTAATAAAATATATAAACAGACTTTCTTCCTAATTGTTTGCTTCTGCATGAAATATGATTCATTAATTACATAGTACCAAAACTCCTAACCAAGATTTTGAATTCTAAATCCTGTAACTTTCCCTAACACATTTGCAAAGTTGTCACCTCATACTCAGCCACTCCCCACTTGTGAAACAGGAAGAATGACAAACAACCTGAAAGAGGCATCTCGATAATACATAACTAATGTTTATAAGATTATAATTCATTCAGACTTCATTACAGTCAGGATTAGTAATAAAATGAATACCAAAACCTAAGGTTTTGCTTACCTGGTGCAAGAAGATTAGTTTTCTATATATATATATATATAAAAAAAAGAATAATGGAAACAGGTTATTCAGGAAACATTTTATACAATACATTTGACTACTATGCTGGAAATAATAGTCTTGATCAAAGTCAATGGTAGACTTCTCAGATGGCAATGTTTTCTTGGGAGTGGGGAGAAATTAATCAATATTAGTACTTACAGTAGTAATAGATGTCAGTAATCTCTTTGGAGTAATAGCCTATGATAAAGAAAACACAATATACCAAGTACACTACAATTACTATAATTTATTTTAGTTCAGAGTTAGGTCTGTAGCATTACAAAAGAAAAAAAGCAAAAGGAATTAAAAGCTTATCCAGTGCAAAAAACAAAAAACAAAAGTCAAAACCAGGACAATAGATTTATCTTACTGTACCTAAACTATACAAGTATTAAATGTATATACAAAGTGAAATGAAATCCAATTTTTCAAAAGTCACAGGATCTTTTAACTGTAGAAGTAATAATCATAATAATGATAATTCCCATGCTATATGTATAATTTTGTAATTGTTTTAATGGTTTTTAATGATTGTTCATCACCCAGAGTCACTTGGACTGAGATGGGTGGCTATAGAAATTAAATAAACAAATAATAAATTATTATATTTCTTCTGCTTTCAGGTTTGTAAACACCAGCTTTTTACAAATATCAAAATAGTGAAATAATACCATTGCAGTACTGATAATACACGGAGCATTTGTGGATTTTGATCCAGCCAACGCTGAAACCCATCTGGAAACAATCTTACATTTAAGGATTTGCATTTGAAACCTGTCAGTTATATTCAACTTTCTTTGTTTTATATGCTGTGTGTATTATCTTTCTCTCTGTATGTTCTTCATATACTGAATTTTAATTCATTTTAATATTTCACATATGACTGTGATAAATTATATAGTGTATGTATATCTATTGTCCTGGCTTAGTTTGTGTCACAACATGGAACAGAGTATGTAGTTTCTTTCTAATGAAATTATCTTCTCTATACTTTTATCTTTGACAGATATTTGTTTGGAACTTTTATTTATGTAAACTGCAATTCAGGATTAACATATTGTCTGTAAATATGTTCACACACATATACATACATACATATTTATAGCCTTGAACACATGTTTTAATAGTAATGGGTTAGAATTAAAATTACTTAGAGTAGGACCACATGATTATGCAAAAGAAGAATGTTGTATCTTTTTTAATACAATGCTCTCCCAAGTTTTATGTCAATTTAAAAAAAAGGAAATTAACTTACCATCACACTGTATTCAGGTAAAATCATTTATCCTCAATAATTCCAGAAAGGAATAAGTCAGCTATACAACTGCACTAAGCACCCTGTACTAGTTAAGTTTTTACAAGGACAGTCATCTTTAAATATGGTATATTTTTATTCACTTCCCTTCAAGTATCTTTTTCATCAGGAGTATTCTACCACATTTTATGCAAACAATTCATCAGTCCAAGTATAAGTGATTGATACAATTTCTATGAAGTCCCAAAATATCTTGCATTTCATGCAAATGCAAAAAACTATACAGCTAATATCAGTTACACTAAAAGATAAATATTACTGTATGTTAGAACAGGCATTATCTTGAATAACTAAATGTTAATTATTCATCTGAAGCACTTTAGTATCAGTTTTATTTTATAAGTGCCTTAAATTTAATTTTTCTAGTGCCTGCCTAATTCAGATGGTAAATTGCTTTAATCTTACTATTCTTAATTGGAATCTCCTTTTAATTTATCTGAAGAATAAATTGTTATCAGAGGTCTCGGTTCCAGCATAATTGATTATATTCTGGCCTCAGCTAGTATTCTTTCTGCTTTTGCCAGTTTTCCAGTCCATTTCTAGACTAAAAGTTATCATTTGCCTCTTGTACTTAACCCACTCATTCCTGATTCTTGCTATCCTATCCCTCACTTCTTCTGCTTCACTTATTGGTATAGGAAAATACAATAGCCTGAGATTATTCACTTGATTGTGTTCTTTGTTTCTCCCAGGCTCTAGATCTTAAAGGAATAGCAGTAGAGGCTAGCAATATTATATATGCCTCATGTGCCAATGCACATTTGATGTCTGCACTGCAGGAAACTTAGAATGAATTCAAGAGACAATAAAAAAGCTAAGAAAGAATCAAAAAGATCAGAACACATCCTTTCCAGTAGCCAACGTCCAGTTAAGCAGGGATTAACACCAGACAAACAGAAAACAATACCCTAATCAAGGAACTATCAAGGAGAAAATCACACCTCCACAAACACTGGCAGGGCAAGCTATTGTATATAAATAGGGAGCAAACCCCACACTCTCCAGCACTGATATTACTTAATCGGGTAATGAAACATCTGCAAGCCAACCAAGCTCAGAGAGCACCAAGGACACCAAAGCATATTATACTGCAGTTCTTGATGTTAAAGAAAATTAACACTGAGCATAATCACATATCTTGAATTTTTAAAGAAATGTAATAAACTCAAAGCAGTGATCATTAGGATCTCAAAGCAGTAGAAGCTAATAGGAAGAGGAACTCAACTCCTAAAGAAAATATTAAAAGCACGATTGCAAACAATTCTGGGGAGGAGTGGGAATGGAGAACAATGGAAGAAGCCAATGTGATAACACAAAAACTTTAGTGAAAATTTGAAAAAAAAAAAAAGCAATAGAGGATTAGGTCAAAAAGATACAAACAGGTAACTCTAGAACTGGAAAATAACTGTTTAGAATGAGCTGTTAGCAAAGAATAAGAACAAAAAAGGACAGATTTTTCCTTTGCAAAAGGAAAAAGTCAGTATAACAGCTGGTCAGTGAAGATGGCAAAATGATAACAGATAAAGAAAAAGTGAAGCTGTGTATTTTGGTTGTTTTCTCCAACAAAAATGCTAGTGCTCCACCAGGAAACCACTAAGAGAATGAAAGAACAGAACTGAAGCTTGAAATTGACAGATTAAAATAAAACTATTCCCAGATAATTTAATATTTTATTTTTTGAATGAGCTTCAATTCCTAGGACCATATGAACTGCATCCTAAATTGCTGTTCTTTATTACTTTGGAGAAACTTCAGAAGAACTGATGTAGTGCCAGAACAAAGCAAAGCTTTTTGTCCATAAGTGCAAAAAGAGGAAGAAAGATCCAGCAAACTACAGATCATATTAATGTAATTTTAGGTTGCATCAATGGAAGTATAATATCAAGTTGTGAGAATTGTTCCAATGGTATCGAGATGTGTAGCAGCTCATAGTTGGCATGTTGTACTATTAGAGTTCTCCGAGCTTGTTTTTAGAGTTGTTGCATATATTTCATAACCATACTAGATAACAAGATTAGGGCAAAAATTTGGGAGAAATAAAGTTTTTGGCTGGAGATATATATCTTCTGCCTTGCCTGCTTGGTGCAAACTTGGAAGGGATGCTCCTGTGGGAGATGTTGTTTTGCAGAGATTGATGGCTGGTTTTTTTTTAGGTATTTATCTGGCTGATAAGATACTAGTTCTATCTCATCTGCACATTGGGTGTTGTGTGATTGGTGGTATTCATAGTTGTGTGATAGAAAGGCTTGTTGGAAGGTGTTGATCTTTTCCTGTAACTGTTGGACTATAATTGGCAACCAGTTGTTAGGTTGGTGAGAAGATGGCTCTCCTTATCTAGCGTGGTTGACTACCATATGATGGGGGCAACGTTGAGTTGATGTGTTAATGTTTGGTCTTTGGTCACATTTCTTATAGGTCCATAGATAGAGTTGAAGTCTGCATCTCTGTTGATTGTTGCTTGGTATGAATGACATGCTTCTAAAACTTCTCTTGTTTAATCTGGTATATTGTATGATTTCCACAGTTTCCTAGTTGAAGTTATGCCATGGTATCTGGAGGGAAATTAATTAACTTGTGTTGTGTTTTCTGACAGCTAGTTGGTGTTCATGGATTCATTTTGCTATTCTTCTTCTGTCTATGTAATAGTGTTCACAGTCCTTACATTTTATTTTATAAATGATTGCTGCTTTGCAATATACTTTCATTATACCCCAAAACTGTGTGCCGTTTAAGGGTGAAAAGATTACATTTCAATGAAATGGTCAAACTCTCTATTTCAAGTTGTGATTCACTTATGAATATAGCGATTTTAATTTTCTTGATTTCCAATTGTATCATTGGGCATATGAAATGAATGGAATGAAAATTATATTGGATATGTGCCACGATGAGCATGATTTGAGTATTATTTAGCATTTTTGAAATCTTGGCAAGTACATAGTTCCAAGAGCAAATTCAAATGTATTTCCAATGCTGAAAGATAGTAGACACATTTGAATATTATTGGTAAGTAAATTACAGGTTGATTCTTGTTCTCATAAGAAACTAACTTATTTTAAAATGGGAGGTACAATTTTATTTTGGAAAGTTTGGGCTGAAAACAGGATTGTTATCCTAAATCAGTTCATTGTTAATTTTGGTTTTAAAATTTACAAGAGGTTACAAAAAGAACAAAATCTGACTATAACTAAAGAATGACAATATATTTAGGTAAAATACTTGATATAATTTAATTTGGACCATATATATTGGTGGCCTCAGAAACCCCCATCGTTCTTCTGCATATATTAGGTAAGGGGGTTTTTTTTTTGGTAGAGTCTAAGCCAAGTTTAGTTTATTTGTCTGTACTTGCTCTCTATTTCTATAATGAAGGATCCAGAATAAAAGATTTGAAACACGAGACAGATTCTGAATAAGTATCAAAAAGAAGTTTTGAAAAATAGAGCAATTTGGCAGTAGAATTACCCAATTACTCAGAAAGGAAGTTGAGTCTTTTGCATTGGATGTGTTCAAATGAAAGCTAAGCAGCCACTTATTTGGGTTGCTTTAATTTAGATTCATACATTGATCTGGCTTCTACTGACTCTATGATCCTTTAACCATTATATACATTATCCCTGGAAGATAAGTTTTGATCGTTCTTGGCAATGTGTTTTTACTGAAAAATTGTTAATCATGGGCCCTTCTGTGAACATTTTACCTAGTCAGGAATGTACTAAAAATGTATTAATATGTAATTGTGAATCTTCACATTGAGGATATAGATACTGAATGTCTTTGGCAAGTACAACATGTACCTTGCTTTTGCTGGGACGTCATTCACTGCCAGGTTAGAATATGCTAGGTATTTCGTTTATTTGATTATTCCCATCTGCAGTTTGTCTTATGGCTAGATTCAGTTCTTTTCCATTGGATCTACTGAATGGCCACTTTAAGGGCATTCTCTGTTTCAAGTGATTGTGCCTGTGTGAGGAACAAGTTGTTGAATCTTCGATATAAGTTTTCTTTTTTATGATTATTATAGAGATGGGAGTTACAAACTTATTACTTTCTTATTAGTCAGGTATTTTGAAAGAACAACCATTTGGTATCTTTATGTGTATTAGGTTGCATGGTCTACCTTGGTAAATTCTCTTGTTCTGTTAATTTGGATCTGGGGTTGCAATAAAGCTACTGTATCATTTTATTTTATCAACCTAATATTTATTGACTAATAAACTAGAATTTAGTATAAAGAAACTTTGGAAAGAAAATTTTAGTCCAAACAATATTATATGGTCTACTGGTCTCAAAAATCTATTTTTCTTCTTTGCACTAAGTTCTTTTAGCATTGGACCATGACAGTAAGATATTGGAACTATCCTCTTTACCTTTGACTTAGTTGATTTTTTCTTCTTATCAACACTTGTGGACTCTTTTTTCTGTACCTAAAGAAGAAAAAATATAACATTACAGACCACTGACTACCTAAACATTCTTTCAAAAGAAGCATATTGAAAAGTGATGATACATACCAAGCTATACACTTCAATGTTAATCTCAAAGTCACTGGACACATTTTGCCTTTAAAAATAGGAGACAAAATTAATAATTAGAACAGACATTAAAGCTATGCCTTGACAAGAGACTTTCAGATCATGATGGCAAAGTCAAAATGAGTTTTTAGATGTTCTCAAGCCAATATTTTATGACTGAATATTTCCAGGATCAGCATGAGGAGTATACAGGTAAAGTATAAGGGCTCAGAGACCTTCAGTGTTAAGATCTTAAACACATTTCACTATTGTACAAATTGCCAGATATATTCTATACATATCTTCCAACAAAGATAAAGTGAATATGATGAAAACTTCACCCTAAAGTTACTTTCCTTTCCAAATTTTAAAAGAATAAATTTAGCAGTGTTTGTCCAAAAACAAGCAAGGAAGCAAACCACACTACTTGGCTATCAGCCAAACAAGGGAAAAAAATGAAGACAGGGCAAGGATATTTTATAGTGCAAGCAACCCAATCAAACAATTTGAGAGGAGTAGCAGGGCACATATAAAGTTGCAAGGCTAAAATTCAAGTGACTGCAGTTACTTTCCTTCTTCTCAAGTATATAGAAAAGGGAAGGCTAGTATCATTTTTTTCAAGGACTCCAAGAATCAAGTTTTGCTTAGACTGACAGACTCATGAACAAAAGCATTCTATATTTGTTATGTCTTATTCTACAGTCAGAAGGCTAGAATCATTATCATTTTTCTCTCCTTTGCTCTGCACCAGCCCATTTTATGGCCCAGGTCAGGAATCCTAGTATATATCCATTTGTTAGAGCATTGTCCCTCTTGGCTTGTGAAGGCTGCACAGGAAGTCACATGGAGTTAGGTCCCATGCAGTGGTATCAGCCTCTTTGAGAGAGGGAGTAATTCCATTAGCCTTGAAGGAAGTGGTGGTAGGCCCCCTCCTCAAGAGATAATTGTGGATCCAACCATCCTGGACAATTTTAAGAAGGTGGTTGGGTAGTAACTACAGAGGATCCTGGGTGAAATGGATTATCTGAACATTTTAATCTGGGTTTCAGGTATGAACATGGTACCAAGACAGCAACGGTTGCACTTGTTGATGACCTATGGCAGAGCTGAGATGAGGGTAGTACAACTATTGTGGTGATTCTAGATCTTTTGGTGGCAGTTGGTATTATAGACCATGGTAACATTCTATACTGGCTGTGGGAGTTGCGGGGGGGGCACAATGTTACAGTGGTTCTTCTCTTTTATGACTGGCTCAAGTGACTGTTGGTGGGGAGGGAGAAGAGGTCAAGCACCAAACCCCTGGTTTGTAGGGTGCTTCAGGGCTCAATGCTTTCCCCTGTCCTGTTTAAGGCCATTGGGGTAAATCATCTGTCAGTTAGGAGTCTGGAATCATCAGTATGCTCATGATATTCAGTTGCACATCTCAACCTCTGGCCAGCCAAGTGTTGTTGTCAAGGTTTGTCCCTAAAGGCTGTTGGTGTGTGGATGGGGAACAAGGGGCTCAGGCTCAACCTTAGCAAGACCAAGAGGCAAACAGTGCTTGGTCTTCCCAGCTAGTTTTGCATGGGGTTGTGATAACTCACTCAGGGCTTCTGGGTACTGCGGTGGTCTTCTTGGATTTTCACCTACTGCTCAAGGAGCAGGTACCAGCTGTGGCCAGGAAGTCCTTTGTACAGGTTTGACTTGTGCACCAGATACATGGATACAGTTCTTCTCAAGGTTACTCATAAATTGGTCACCCCTGGATAAACTATTACCACACATTCTACATGGAGCAGTCTTTGGAGACCAACAAGAAACTACAGCTGGCCAAATGTGGCAATATGAACAGTGATGGACAAGCCTCACTACATGAGCTACAATGGTTGCTAGTTGGCTTCTGAGTGCAATTCAAGGTGCTATATCACCTATAAAGCTCTACATGGCATGGGGTCTAGCTGTAATATTGTCCTTTTAATTTTGTGGATCTGCATAGAGACATTTGGAGCTGGTGGCCTAGAAATTTGAGAAATAAATAAAATACCACTAATCATATTCTGTGCAGAGGTTTTATGGTTGCTATGTTGCACTCTATGTAGAAAAGATGAATCAGACAAATAATAAAATAGAGAAGCACTTTCAGAAATGGAGTTGGTTTTTTATCTTAGGGGCAATAACCTTTTCAGGAAGTGGGCACAAATGTGTGATTTCGTGCAATGCTGTCAACGTTGACCAAATAAAAAATAAGCATAAAATTTAAACGCAAAACATTTAAAATGGCCAATTCCTGACACCTCATTTGAGAACAGCCAATTTTACCGGGCTTCCTATGAGACTGAAAACTATTCTTACATGCCATCTAGTGGTTAATATAACTCACAAATTTAATTCCTCATAGGTAATGGAACTTCTTTTTGCACTTTGAAAATTTCAGTGGAATCCAGGAAAGGCAAACTTAACCGAGCAGTAAAAGTACTGCCTGATGCAGAAGCCTTTACATCATGGCAGTGTGAGTGGGTTCCAATACTTGGTCAGCCTCCATCTTTCACTGCACTAAACACACCCATGGAATTAGTTTCTTTTGGGGTTATAGAAAATGCTGCAGTATTCAGGATGTTTATTGAATACTATAGTATTTTTTGTCATTAGGTTTGTTGGAGGAACACTTTTTTACCCCTATTAGAGTCATTAGGCAGAACAGAAAAATAAGGAGGCAAGAATAAAATCAAAGGATGTTGCTTGAGACATTTAAAGAAGAAACCTGCTGAAAAGGAAAAAATCACACAGATAGGTTGCTTGATGTGAGGTGAATGAAAGACTTGAACTAAGCAGAAGTAAATACCTAGCTGTAGCTCTTTTTTAAAAAAAATTGAAGAAAATAAAGGGGAAGATACCAGAAAAACATGTTGATTCCATAATTCCAGCTTCAAAAGAATAAGAAACACAATACCAAATGCTTCCCAGGCTAAACAAAGTTCTAAGTTTTTACTTGTTCTGATTTTTAATGTTTGAAGTATAATAGCACTATTGGGGCAAACAAGATACTTAGTTTTTAAACTAATTTTAAATATATATTTGTCTCCAAAGAAGCCTATTGGTACTGACATAAATATAAATACTGAAATAATACTTACAGTGTAAATGTTGTTGTAAAAGAAAGGGCATCTCCACTCAGAGAATTAGCAGTACTTGCTAAAGGTGTTGCAACCATATTTTCTGCACCTGATTTTAGCATGATTACATAGTAGTAGTTTGCTGTTTCTGTGAATAAATAGTGGGTTATTTACTTACTAGATTTAGTCACCACCTTTCTACTTGGAATGAACACTCAAAGCAGCTTACAGTAAAAACAATACACAAATACAAAATAAAAATAAAAATAAACGCAAGTAACAAAAAGACTATAAACTGTGAAATTTTGTATTTCAGCTTAGAGACTTGTTTTTTCTGGGAAGATGCCTTGTTACCCAATGAAGTAATAAAACTGAAGGAGTTTTTGGTTCAAAACTGAGCCAAGATAAGCCATAAAGTCAACCTATACAAGTTTTCCAAAAGTAATACAGAAGTAGACTGCAAATATTTTTAAAGTAAGTTCTACACCAGCATGCTGGCTGGAGAATTCTGGGAGTTGAAGTCCGCACATCATAAAGTTGCCAAGGTTGAAAAATACTACAGTATTTTATACTATCTGTTATGGGTGAATACAACTCCACTTATGGGAAGTTTTTATTCACACTGAAATATAGTATAACAAAGTTCATACTGGGTATAAGCAAGAAAAACCTATTCAGTAGGGGTGTGTAAAATGTTCCATGTACAAATCATTCTGTGCATGTTGGACAGTCTGAACCCAAACCAAAACTTGATGTGGATGTTTGGATACAGATGGAGCCAGGGTTGTCTGTCCTGGATATGGATTAAAATATAGGTGCTTCGTGCATAAGTAATGGGGCAGGGGGATTAGACCAGGGAAAAAACCAAGATCAGGGCTTTTCTTTTCGATGATGGAGACAGCAACAACTGAGGAGAGGAAATAAAGAAAATGCACTGGGAAAAATTGGGTATAGGCAAGTTGGTGGGACTGTTGTGCTGGGATATCAGGGGTATTTTATTTATTTATTAAATTTGTATACCGCCCATCTCCCCCAATGGGTGACTCTGAGCAGCTCACAATTAAAAGCAAAAACCCAAGCCATTAAAAAAACAATACCATATAAATAAAATTAATTAATCAATTAATATCTGACTATAAAACAACCCTATACATAAATACTAAAAAACATTCAAGATGATGGGGAGGGAGGTCAATTACCCCACAAGCCACTTCCACCGGCCCCCAGGCCTTCTGGCAGAGCCAGGTTTTCACGCCTTTCCTGAAGGCCATGAGAGTGGGGGCACACTGCACCTCAGGAGGTAGGTTGTTCCACAGAGTGGGGACCACCGCCGAAAAGGCCCTCTTCCTAGATCCCAGCAGTCAAAATTCCTTGACTGGTGGGGTCTCCAACATGACCCTTCTGCTGGACCGAGTGGGTTGGGCTGATATAACAGGGGTGAGACAGCTCCTCAGATAACCTGGTCCTGTGACATGAAGGGCTTTAAAGGTGATAAACAACACCTTGAATTGGACCCGGAAGCAAACCGGCAACCAATGCAGCTTGTGTAACAGCAGTGTTATATGTGCTCCCTTGGGGGCATTCAGAACTCTTCGTGCCACCACATTCTGCACCAGCTGTAGCTTCCGGATAGTCTTCAAGGGTAGCCCCACGTAGAGCGCATTGCAGTAGTCCAACCGGGAGGTGACCAGGGCATGAGTGATTGTGCGGAGAGCCTCCCGATCGAGGAAAGGCACAACTGCTGCACAATACGGGTAACAGCTAAGAAAAGGCAGGAGTGGGAAGGATGGGAAGGCACTGAGAAAATAGGAATATGGATGGACTGCACACAACTCATGTGAAGAGTGAGAGAGAAACAAGCACTGCAACCCATAAAATTACTCAAGGATCCTTCCAGGTTTTTGTTTTTGTCAAACTGCAGCCAATTCAAAATGGTTTGACAGAACTTCTGGAAGGTGAGGTTCTAAACAAGCCATTCTTTCTGTTTTGTGCACACCCCTACTTTCCAGTAAGAAATTCAGAAACTCATTACTCTCATTACTATAGCAGGGCTAAGCCAAACCCAAGTTAAGGGGAAGAGCACCCAAGACCAAGACATTGTTTCTAAGGCAGAAAATTTCACAAGTATTTCTTCCTATCCTAGCAATAAATCAGGAAAATAAACCAATTTGATGTTGGTTTTTTAAGACCCTTTTTAAAAGTTGCTGTCTCAAGAGAGCTGCCTCATAGTGCTTAATGGTGGTGTCAAGCCTTACCACACCATAATAATTATCATACAAATACAAGAATATTACCTGCTTTCTGGATAGTACTGCATACAAAATCTGCTTTTAAAGGTAGTCGCATTTCTGACAGAGTGACAGATCCTTTGGATGGAGAAACTCTAGAAAGTGTAGAATCAGCTTTTATCTTCTTACTCTGAGGACCTTTATTTTTAAGCTTGTTTAGCTCTTCCAACAGTGCTGCTCTTTTTTCAGCTTAAAAAAAATTAAAGAATTAAAATACCTTCTCTTGACAACTAACAATTATCTTCATAAAACAATAACCACTTACCAGAAAACACATGCCACTTTACAGAAGTTCCTTGATGGATCAAAACTACTGGTGTACAAATTTTTCATTTAAACCATTTTGAGTGTGAACATGTTTCAAGGGAAAAATGGGCTGTTTTTAATATTTCAAGTTTCCCTTCTTAGATTAGCTTTGTTTCAAGTACAAAATGCTGTTTGGAACTCAATATATTTCCAAAAAGCTCAGAACAACCCATTCCATTCACAAAATAGCAGTTTTATGCTTGAAATTGGAAGTTTAATGGAGTTTCACACTTGAATCAGGTCAGATAGAAGCATTTTGTGTACCCCTTATCAAAACCATCTTACCCAGCACAAATTCAGCCAAAGTCAGCCAGCTTTAATAGCTACTCCGCAAGGTAACATAATTCTTCTCAGACCACAATATACAGGGTTATAATATTTCTGAAAATGAAAGCTTCATTTACTTAACAAAGGGAGCAAAACAAGTATGGTCTCAAACTGCGAATGCTTTTTCAATAATTGCTGCTCTATTCAGGACAATGAAAGAGGAAATATTAAAAACAAATATATCTATCATAGAAATTAATAATCATTCTTCAGCCATGGCATAAATCCTAAAGCTTCTCTTAATCATAATGAAAGTTACAATTCCACAAACATAATATTGGTACTTTAAAAAAGCACTTGGCCTTATTGGTTATAAAGCATACAGTACTCTAAATGATATTCTCTACAAATCCAATGTTAAATAAACTAAGCATCATACTTGCAATAAGTAGTAGTCTCTCAGCTTCTGCTTCTTCTTGTGATCCTCTCCCATGGTCCTCATCAATACAGCAATTAAGAGCCTGGCTTGTTTGATGTATGACAGTTTGTTGCATATTAATTTCATTATTCAGCTCCTAGATATAGTTGAAATTAATTAAAAGAGTTCTCTTTACTGGAAAGTCGTTAGCTTAACAAAAAAACATTTTGTGATTAAAAAATAAATGGCCATTTTTATGGAGAAAAATTGGTTCTATCGTTCAAGACAGAAGAAACATAGGTTATACCCAGGAGTTTTGTTGAACTGAATATTTACACCCAGGTATAGAATTACAGTGCAAGTTACTGCACTATAGTGTGTATTTGCATTCCTGCACCTCCTCCCCCCCCCCCATATCAACAAGTGGGCCTTTGTTGATATTTGGAGAGAGGTAAGGGTCAAAAACAGCTTAACTTACCCATTTTACCTCTTAAACAAAATCAGGCTGGGAGTTATGGCAGTAGTTGATAGGGAAAATGGGTACCTTGAGCTTCTACATTTTGCCCCTTAGATCTCCATAAACAAAGCTGAAGACAAAACATTTCAGTCCTGCCATTCTAGTGACATCTTGACATCACTGATCACAACTCTCAGGTAGATCCCAAAGATGATTCCTAGCTTTAAAAAAGTTCCTATCCCTGCAATAGGTTCTCATGTTTATCAAATACAGACATAAAGCTACATCTGTTAACAACAGTTTAGGAATACTATTACAAAATTTCATATTTACTCTCTTCTCATATTAACTGGAGGGTGGAATTTTAACTACCTGTAACTTGTGTTTAATGTTAATTTGATCATTTCCATTTCTCTTCTCCTCAAGCCTGGAAGATACATCTTCTTTACGAACAATTACTTGTTTTATTGATGGACGATCAATTTCTTTAAATCTCTGGGATCGATAGGCATCAATACTTCAAGGAGAAAAAGTCCAGTTTTAGAAAAACACAAAAAAAGTATTTGACTTATTTTACTCCAGTCTTTGATATACAAGGATAGATACCACTGCAAAGTTGGTTGACTGGTATTACAAGAGCAGAGATGAGTGTTTTTAAAGTACTATTAGAGTACTTTGTGCTTGTGGTAAATTAGATTGTTTCCTATAAGGCCCTGAATGTTTGGTAGATTAAGTTTTTCTACACACTCATATTTCTTCCACGACTTCAGGAAGTACATAGCACTGCCCTTTTACTTCTTCATATACATTTATCCAAGAATAAGTTTTGATCAGGCTGGGCTACATCTAAAATTTTTGTGGTTTCTTTGGCTAATTTTACCATCATTACTCCAAAATAAGCCATGGTTCTACTAATTTTTCTAAACTAGAAATTACCTATAAAGGTTACGTTCCTCTGATAAAGACCCAATGCTGCTTCCAGATTCAGTTCTGCAGACAGACATTCTCTGGAATCTGATGGACTTTGGACTCTCATCACTTGCAGTACTTCCCTCAGCAATTGATTTACTAGGGGAAGCAAAAATCTGGAAGAGAGGAAAACAATCATACGTTTGATCATTCTAAGAGCAATTATATTTTGAAGCAACTTTAGACTTTTACTGTAACAAAGGAACTCTGTTAATATAGGGAATATCCAACTGAAAATATAAAAAGTTTGATATATTTTCTCAAATTCTTGAGAACCTACTTAGACATGCTGGATATATACAAGTAATGTTACTATACATAGAATTTGCCCTTACCTCTGGACTTGCAACAGCAACAGCCTCTGTTAAAGGTGTTAAGAGGGACATTGATGAAATATTCAGTGTCTCTTCCTGTTCATCATCACTTTCATCTTCTAAAGTTATACTCATTTCTTTTTTAAGTTTTTCTATGTCAGACCCATCTTCATGAAGGACTTCATCAAAGATGTCACTTATTACCTTTGCACTATTCATCTCATCATTTACTTCACTTTCTTCTTCTTCACCTGGACAGTGAGATCAACAAGTTTTAACTCTGAATAAAAACGCACACACTAGAAATAAGATTGCAGAAAGAATGACAAAAGGAGTGCACAATCTTTTCTTTTTCTGCTGTTTTTAAGATGTGACTTTATTATGAGAACAAATAAAAAAATATAAATCCATACTATATTATCATTTAGATTACAGGTTTATCCCAAAGTTCTTAAGCTTAGCAATTGCAAGGGAAAAAAAAGAGACAAAGAGGCCAACAATTTCAAAATAACCTAAAGGTGTAAAAATTAAAACTACAAATACAAATTAAAAAGTGCATCTTCATCTTAATAAAACTTTACTATATTTTATATAGAAAGTACAATTAAAACACAAAACAGATTTTTTTTTCTTGAAAAAATTGCATCTTCAAAAGGATGCACAAACTGATAATGGTAGGAAGGTCTGCCCCTTTGTGGACATTTTTGGCCACATCACCCCAAAGGAAAGCAGTTTTTAAAATTGAATTTAATGTCAAACGGCATCTTTAAAAGGAGATGCACAAGGAAAAGTGGTTCAAAGTGCCGGCAAAAGGCCAGTTGTTACTGGTAACAGACCATGCTGTTACTGTTTTGCATGTTGTTTTGAAAATGTGATTTTAAATTAAATTGAATCCAATTAAAACTTTATTTTAAACATTATTTGCTGAATACAATATAAATGTCCATCAATGATTATGGGGAATTAGAATTGCCTATTGCATCTTCTAGCCAGTTATGGTCAAATAAAATTGTCAATCAAGAGAGTGAATACTAACAGTTCTTTTAGGCAAGCCTTGCTTCTGTGCTATCATAAGCAACTATTGCTGTCCTTTAGGTAGAAGTGTCTATGTTTAGCGATTTGCTTCCACAGTTCATGTTTTTCCTTTCCCCACAAAACTAACAATTAAGTCTTATTAATTTTCAGGTCAACCTGAATTTTTAAAAAACTCAGTTTTCTTGAAACAAATATTTGTGTTCACTTGAAAACAAGACTAAGCTGCTATGATTAAGATAAAGTTTCTAGATTCACAAAGCAAAGCTTGCCAAAATGTTCAGCAAATAATTTATAATTTGAACCATCCAGCAACTCACCCTTAATAGCAAAAGAATATGTTAGCAGGGGTTTCCCTTCTGGCTCTGTTAAAAATTGGACAACATTCTGCCTGCAGTTATTGACAGATGCATTTAACCATAGTATTATTTTGCTCCCAGTATTTTTATTTTTGGCTTCCCAATTGTTCTTTACCACAGCATCGGTTTGGAGGCACAATGTAATTTTAAAAAAATACTAAATAGAATTTCATGTCTGTTTATTTGTTTATAGTCAGCCAGCAATTTCCTTTAATTTCAGCAACAGACACAACATGTTTTTCATTTTCTAGTATCTGAACTGGAAAGACACGGCAAGGTGGTGTAGGCTAAATTTAACAAGTCCAAAGTTAGTAAAGAACTAGGGTTTTTAATAAACTGTTTCCAACAGTTTTTAGTAAACCGTTTCCAGAGAAACAGAAGTCAAAATTACTGTATGGATTTTTTTTTGCAGATAAATATGATTAAGTCAGGACATTGCTTGCTAGCGTACAGAGTTAGGAAATACAAACCGTTCTGTTTGTCAGGAAGTTGCTCAAGTTTTGAGTTAGATGCTGTTTTTACAGGAGTCTTTGGTGAACAAACTTTCAGAGGACTGAGTTCTTCTGCTTTTTCATTTTCTGAAGAACCTAAAATTTTTCAAGACAGTGACTCAAGAAAAATAAGGAGGTATTTTTTTTAAACAGATACAAACTTCTACTGAGATAATTTTAAAAAAAAAATTCCTAATTTCTATTTATTGAAGCACTAGGAGCAATGTTAAGCAGAGACTGGGACAAGAGAACCACTCATCTGACAGCATTATCTTTTTTTAAATCAGGCATTTTTATCAACATTTAAGCAGATGTGAGCTACAATTCAAGATACCTCATATCACATCTAATTGGCAAGGCCAGATATTTCTTTCCCTCATCTCTGGAGCAGGGGTGGGATGGGGATGGGAAGGTGAATAAGAAGCCAAGATTTGCTCTGTTGAACAATTTTTGAAAACATCCAACCAAATCCAGTATATATAAACATATTACCTATTTTAGTATTACAGATATTACATATCTGAAATTGTGAGGAAAACCCTATTATGATTCCTTTTACCAAAAAGAGAAAGGGGAAAGTTAAAAGAAAAGTACAGCTACCACTTGGTTTTGGTGCTTAATCAATAGGTCCCTTATAGAGAGACCCCTATCACACAAATATCTGCAGGTAAATGGGAGGATCTCTTCTGTAACATCTGTAAAAGGGACCCTACTGTAATCTCAGATGGGATTCCCTCTTGTAATGACCTCCTAGATTGGCCACCCGTGTCTGTAGCTGTGGTTAAAGATCTTATTGCCCAATTAAAACCAGGTAAAGCATCTGGAGGTGATTTCATCCCCCCAGAATTAATAAGGGAATACAAAGATTGGTGGGCCCCACTTCTGGGCACTTTATTCACACATATTAACAACACAGGCAAATTTCCGTCTGACTGCAATCAGGCTATTATTATACCATTATACAAAAATAAAGGAAATAGACTTGACCCTATAAATTGTAGGCCTATTAGTTTATTAAACACAGTAGGTAAATTTCATGCCAGATTTTTATATCTAAAATCAGTGGATTGGGTACAAAATGAAAATATAATTGAAGAATAGGCTGCATTTAGAGGGGAATGATTAGCATTAAATCATTGTTTGGTTTTCCATCATTTGGCAGAAAAATATTCTGCACCTGCTCGAGGTCCCTTTTTGCACCTTTTGTTGATTTTAAGTCAGCTTTTGACCTAATACCAAGAGAGAGACTGTGGGTCAGTCTAAGACAGTCTACTATTGATAAAAGGCTGCTCCTACTTATTCAGTCACTTTACTCAAATAGCACCCTGAAATCAGATGTACCCTTGATGACATTTATCTAAAGCAGTCCCAACTTATAGAGGTGTTAAGACAAGGTGGTATGTTAGTTCCATTACTTTTTAATCTGTATTTAAATCCAATAATCCAAGCACTTGCTGTTTTAGCCCATCACCCACCTGATGACTGTATGATTCCAGCATTACTGTATGCCGACAATATAGCTATTATGTCTACTTCACAGGTGAGAATGAGAAAAGCACTTACAGCACTAGTTTTATTCTGTATAGAACAAAAGCTATCAATAAACTATCAGAAAACCAAAATTTTAATGTTTGCCTGATGTTATCATAAAATTCACAAAAGGACTCAAATTGAGCAGATATGCGCCTATCAGTATCTTGGAGTGCAGTTCCATGCTTCTGTATCTGGGAATGCTCTTTTTGTTTTTTTACCAGGCAAGTGTTGCACAGGATACCTCTACAGCTATCGTAAGAGTTTACCATTCAAAAGTAGCCCATTATATCCCTGCAGCTTGCAGGGCTTTCCGAGCGGAGGTAATCCCTCAGCTCCCAAATTTGCCCTTTTGCAATGCTTAACATTCTTGAAATTATTCAGAGTAAGTTTATTAGAGCCATATTGATGATTCCAAAACGTATCAAAAATGCTATCTTACGTGTAGAGACAAGTATAGTCCCAGACACTAGAGCATGGTTTCTTCTTATCATCTTTTGGCTAAAGTTAATCCTATTTCCTATAGTTTTGGCCCCATTAGTACTTAGAGATCATTTTAAATCATCATGACTTAAAAAAAAACCCCTAGATAAAATTCATTTACTGGGTTTCTCTATGGAAAGCTTGTGCTCATTAGGTTTTGATAATGCTAGAACTGCCCTCAAACAATGCATTTGGGACATAGATCTCTAAACAAATTTAAGCAAGGTGCCACACCCCAATATTTATCATATTCTTCCAAAAGGGCTCACTCCAGCCTCCTATTTATCATCTATTACGATTCTGAAATTTCATAAGGCCTTTGCTGGATGCATTGCCCTCAGCAGTCCTTTTTGGACATTTTAAAGGTACTCCTATGTATCTTTGGTTATGTCCATATAATAATGGCTCAATAGAAACTCTAAGCCACATGCTACTATGCTGTTCTCTATATAAGGACTCTAGACAGACCTTCAATCATCTGATCGTCAAGAAATTTCCAGGTAAGGAACGTGATTTCTACTTAATGTTACCTCTTTCAGCAAGGACTCAAAAATATCTTCCCAAGTTGCCCAGTTTTATGCTAACATCTTACAATATACCACACCATTAATTAAGTTTGGAACTTCTTATAGTTTTATTCTATTTACTTTATTACATCTGTTCTTTACTTATACTTATACTGTCCTTATACTTATTTTCTGTTATATATATATATAGAAGTATGTAACAATTCTATTGTTAGATATTTTATTGTATCTGGCCTTAAGAGCTGTAATAAACTGATTTCATTTACAGCTACCACATTTAAATTCTTCAGTAATTCTTTTAATGAGTTACCTAATATTTATTGACCTCTAGAAAATATCTCGACAACCCTATCAGTTATCTTATTAACTATTCCTCCATCTCATAAAGAACAAAACTCTAAATCAAAATAGATGTTTTGAAATATAAAATTGGGTTTTTTGTAAACATTTTCCAAAGCATCACTTAAACTATTTTTGCATTTGCTAAGCCTTCATTGACCTGTAGTTTTAAGGTAATTTATTCTCACCTGAGTATGTGCTTTCTGCTACTCTCTCAAGTGTTGTGAACTTTTTTTCTACTAACTGGGAACTGGCATCTGTACTTGGGAAGTGCTTTAGATCAGCACGTGTCTGATTCTCCTGAGGAAAAAAATATACATCATATTTAGCTTATATTAACTAGCTGAAATGTGTATATATGCATAATAAAATAAAGGTCATCCTTTATTGACATTTTTGTATAATCTCTCTATACATACATTCACAAGGTGCCATATACAGGATGTACCAAAACTTAGGCCCCATAGGCCAATCACAGTATGTTTTATTAATACCATTTTTCAGAGAAAATGTTATTGTCCTTTGGAATGTTCAAAGGTCATGTATCAAATGAGCAAGGAAATGTTTAGGAGAAAATGGCAACCAATCCAAACTTTAAATGTAATTTATATAACACAATGTCTATGGGTTTGGGCTTTTTGTATACCTTGTATATATTTTTCTTGTTCTCCCAATGACATAAAGTTTAGCCTATTAATACGCTAAAATGTGCATGGAGTATATCAATACCCACATACACACTTTTAAAATAATTTCACATTGTTCTTTAGAATTTAAATCCTAAAGCAAAATATACAACTTCTGGATAAGGATGTTTGGCATCTTGGGAACTGCACTCCCAAAAGTGCTACAAAGAACTAGAACAAAATCTAAATTTGATTTCATTTACACTGAAAGTACAAATTTGGTAACAAGGAGAGTTTGGGACAGTACATAGATATGAGGACTCAGGCTTTAAACATCTGCCCCAAAAAGATATTATAGGTTTCCTTAAAACATCTTACTGGTTTTATCTCTGGAGGCTTTTTCTTGGGCTCCTCTCCTTTTTCAGCACTCCACAAATTACTCCTGTCAAAGCGACCTCGAATACATGCAAGTTCTCGTTCCCGTTCCTGAATAGACCAAGGAAAAAATAAATGTAATCTGAACATTTCTCCAGTAGATATCCAGCGTTCAAGACTGATCAATCCACACGCTCTTAAATACAAAGTTGTTTAAGTACATACTTGTTTGAGCTGCTGGGCTAAACTGGAAGCTGAAGATGCTTCATTATGCCTAAAAAGTCTTTCTTGGATTGTCTTTGTGTTTGGAGTGATAACCGGAGTTCTGTACCCTCCCACAATAGCAGGACTTGGTGTAGTGTACTCCTGGCAACGCTCTCCAAAACGCTCCAGAAAAGGCTTAATGCTTGAACCTCCTATAAGAATGGATTTTTCTTTGTTAACAAGTTTAGGTTCTTTATCACTGAGAAATAATGATGCATTGCAGCATGAAGCTATCCTAGAAAGCTTTCCTATAGAGCTTTATAACTAGATGCCATAAATGAAGACATTAACTGTTACAACTTAACTAAGACAGATCGCTAAACCCATAAACATTATAATATGTACATAATACAAAAATCTTGCAACCTAATTCTGTGCCAAAGGTTATGTGTTTTTATACATAAAAAATTTGAAATTTGGAACCAAACTAACTTATGTAAATCCTTTATTAAGCTCCCTGATCTTCTGAGTAGATCATGATCATGTACATTTGAGTAGAAATGTTTTCTAGCTATTCCACATGTAGTTCAAGAGAATTAGTTTCATCCAGTACTAATTAATACAAAGCTATTAAGAACTACCACAAAAGCTGTTTAAAAACTTGAAATGCAAATAGCCCAATATTTTTAATTCTATTTGCTTAAAATAGAAAGTTTTTCCTAACTTTGGAATTCTGTATACAAGCTACTGAAATTTAAGCAAATATGATGTCCTGTCTTTTTAAGATTTTAATATTCTAAAATCAAGCTGCAATTCCAAACATAGTTATATAGCTAACTATTTATTTTAAACTTTGACAAAGATTAATTAATAGGAATAATGTTCAGGTTAGTGCTCACTATATTACAGCAACTATTTCCTGTGGTTTATCAACCACCATTTCTCTCTTAGGATGGGATTATACATCATGCTAAGCTGAACAAGCATCTATACTAAACAGAAACCCAATCACTTTTATATAGCATCAGTATTATTAATGACTATTAGCAGTAACTCACTGCAATCATGTAAAATATGGCCTCAAAATATACCCAAAAAATAATAAAAAAAACCAATTACTAGCTTGTTGGGGCTGACTCAAGGAAATGAGAGTTACATTTACATGTAAGTCCAGAGGATAGAGGTTTTCACCCCAGCTATCTTGCTTGTAACCTGTAAGCTTCCCACTATGCCACTTTAGGTTAAAGACACCCAATCCACAGGTATTATAAGATGGGCAATGGACTGTCTTATAAAAACATTTAAAATTATATTAAATATATAGAATTTGTATGTTTCAAGATGCAGTTTGTATGACTTGTAAAATAAAATACATTTAATGTTAAAAATTACAGATAACCATTGTCCAAGGACATTGTTTTGTGCTGCATTTCAGAGAATATGCTAAAGCCATTTTTGTACATAGGATTGCAGGTTTTCAACTACATGTCTCAATCAGCACAAACTTAATTTCAAATCACTTCCTGCATAGAATTTTGTTCCTGCTTAACATGTGGTTGATTTTACATGCTTAGTGGGAATGCTCAATAATCATTTTAAAAATGGCACTAAGCATTCTATAAATAACAGAATAAATCCTGCTAAATTACAAGGAATGCTAGAAACAGTGAATGTAGCACTCAGGTTATTAACTAGCTAAATATGTGCCAAATGCTTTATAAAAACATATCTTGCATACAAGTACTTAGTTAAAACTATAAAAACACTACTTTAAAATACTGAAGTAATTTTTCACCTGGTGTGATGGGTTTATCTTTGTAGTCAACTTGTACATGTGTTCCTTGTGTTTGCTCTTCTTTGGCAGGAATTTCTTGAGGTTTTGGTGTTAGGTTAAGACTGCCCTTTTCCCGTAGCTTTGGTACCTCAATTTCTTTAGAATGGCTATTAGTAATTCCTGAAGCTTTTGTTATAGAACTATTAGTTCCTTCCTAGATGGTTTGAGTGGGAAAATATAATGAATTAGTTTAAGATGACTACTAAAATTATTCTGAACATTTTGAATGTTTATAAAACAAAGTTTCCAGTTGTAATGTAACCTTCTATGGAGGCACTGCTCCAAAACCAATGTTTGTTTTTAACAGTTCTATTAGTAGATTATTATTTCCCTCTGACTTTCTTTTTCCACAATATAAATTGCTTCAGTGAAAGCAATTTCTATCAAATTTAGTGCAGTGATATATTTGTAAGTACTTGCCATTTATAAAAAGATTCTCATAAATCTCACATTTTAAACAGAACTTATTCCCTATTCAGCATGGTTTGAATTACAATCCAGCATTGTTAATCTTCATTTTAGCAATCTAGATAGGAAATATACATTATAAATATGATTACTTACCAATATCCCAGAGATTGCCGACTTATTCACAGCCCTTTGTGAACAGGATGTAGCATCCTGCTTCACACTGCCACTATTGATTCTAGCAGATGCTCCACTTGTAGTGGACAATTTGGAAAAACAAGTAGTACCAGGCTGTTCTTGTGTATTGTTTTGCTTTGCAGATGGATGGCTTAGGTCATTCTCCCAGGAGCCAATTGTAGCAGCAAGGTTAGCTAGACGGCCTCTTCTCCCTATTGGGGTATCAGCTGTAGCAGGAAGTTGTTTGGGTGGGGAAATAACACATTCTTTTGACAGGATAGGAGTTATGGAAGTGCTTTCAGGCAAATCTGAAAATTGAAACAGAACAGAGGAGTATTTTAAAGAAATGTAGTAAAGAGATGTCAAACTTTCTGAAACAAGTTAGAGTACATATTTTAGATGCATCCCCTTCTTTTGCAGTCATTTGCCATGAAAAAACACATGATCCAGAAGGGGGCAGAGGCTACTTTGGCCTTCTTGCCCTCCCCATAAAACAGACAAAAGAAAGTGCATCTATTACAGAACTCTGACACTTCAAAACCTAGTATCAATATAAACAGGCACTTGTGGTATTCTAAGCTGAATACTGTAGAAGTAATTTCAAGCAAGCACAGATTTATCCTTAGCCATTACACAAATCTATAGTAATTACATGGAATAATCTTTCTGAGCGCATTTCCATGCCATCAGTTTCCATCTTCCAATCCCTCACAAAGCAGTTTGAAACTAACTGGAGCCTTCTTTAACCTTGAACTGCAGAGCACTTGTAAAAAAAAACAACAGTGAGCAATCAGTGCTTATCCACTTTCCAGTCATTTGACAACCAAAGAGTACAAAGAAAAATTAATCAGTGTTCTCTCTGAGCCAGCACCAGCCATAGAATACCAAACTCTCACTTCACTCAAAAAAGAAATAGTGCCCCAACCAATTTTTCAATGCATGTATTTGCCTGGTGATTTGCAAAAAAACAACCAACCAACCAACCAACCAAAAAACCCCCCCAGAAAGCTCACTAGGATGGGCATATGAGGGAAGGCTGACTTGAAAAATGTGAATAAAAGCACTAAATCTTCCAACTGTTTCCTCGCTAATACTGTGCATAGAGGAATACTGTAGGTGGTTTGAGCCCAGGAGCCAGGGTGAGGCAACAGCCCCTATCAATGCTAGTTTATATAAAAATATTAGCTTTTTTGCAATTCCAAATAAAATAAATTAATAACATAAATTCAGTTCTCAGAAACAGACATAAGGTTAAACATATATGGAGCCAATCCCAATGGTGCAAAGCAGAATTATAGAAATGCCCTAAGTCAAGTCACAATTGTATCAAAACAATTAGCTGGCTCACACGTGTATGTAACTCTGGGTTTCTAACTAAGCCAGTTTGTTAGATTCACACATCCATGCAACTTCAACAATCAATACAAATAAACCACATTATGCCTCAATATGATGAAAATATCCAACCAAATAGGTAGCTACATTTTCAGCTGATGTCCCCCCACCCGCCCCATACATATAATAGGCACAGTTACTCATTGGCAGACTCACTAAACATTTGCAATCATATTTACTATTTCAAGTCAGACTTCTGCTGTCCTTCTTTCTAGGACAGTACTTTGTAGACAAGCTAAACATAGATTAAGAAAAAAAAGTTTCATGCCCTGCTTTTCAATCCAGTGTTTGCTCCCTCATATCACTGCACAGGTTTAGTCTTCAGCTTCATCTGTCATTTAGCATGAAACACATACCATTATCCCAGCAGCGTCGCTGTTCAGCCAACTTCTGCATACGTGTTTTAACTGAACTAACAGAAACCAACTCAGATGTAGAGTTGTGTTCTTCAGTCTCTGAGGATGGGGCGACAAGCTGAGAGGTAGGAGTCATTTCAGGAAGAACTGGGCTTGTGGAGGACAAATTAATTGGATGCATATTCTCTGAATTAGAAACTGGAATTTCTGCATTGTCTGAACAACGTCTTTTGGATGGTGATGGCTTTGTACTTGCTTTTGCTGTAGAAGTTTTGGAAAAAAAGAAACAAACAACTGAGTACTTTTGTAATTAGAATAGCAGTGAATACAGCATTCAGTTGGAAACAAATTAAGATTTCAGAGATCAGAATATAGGATCAATTCACTTTGAGCGCTTCCAACTTAAGACACTTTGCAAGCAAAGAAGCTATTCAAATATATGACAGCTTGTTTACACAAGAGTTTTACAGGCTTCTTGGCTATAGCTGGTTCTATGCTTTATATCATTTTGCCAATAACCTCTCCTCCCCCCTCCAAAAAACCTCTTAGTGAGATATACATGCTTTTTGTTTGAAATCCACTAGAATAAAAACATTACTTTTGTATGTAAGAACTCTGAACCAGTTATTTTTTTATTGAAATTTCATGTAATAACTTTGTGGGCAGTTCATTTTTTTTAAGATCACAATTAATTTAACAAGCTTATTCTCCTCAGCAACTATATTACTCCTGCTATTATCACTCAGTTATGCCTCATAGAAAAAAACAGTTTTTCATTATTTGCTGATGTCCACTGATAATTGATAAAAGATCTGGCTTTCTAAATCCAGATCCAAGTTTGGATCCAAATCAGAAACAGGACATTCTGAAGCAGCTATAGACCAACCTGACTGTTCTCAAAACTTGAGTTCCACAATTAATTAATTATTGGGCTTATAGGCAGCTCCGGTGATCTGACTATAAGTGGCGTAGAACTCCTCAAATACATAATTTGGGATCAAATCAAATTTAAAAACAAATTATATATTGTAATTGCATTCTCATTCAATACAATAGAAACCAATTCATTACCTGGAGGGATACTCACAACAACCTGTAATGCATACACCTGCTCCATATTTAGTTTATGACATTTTAATGTACATTTGTTGTAAAGAAAAAGTCAAGTGTGGTTTGGAGTTGACAAAATGTTACAACTTCATTGTGAAAAATACCTTCTTCATTAGGCTGAAGTGGCTGGTTACCAGCTTCTGATAAAGGTTCTCTATTCCTTTTTGTTTGAGCTGTACTCCGTACTCCAGCTACGGGACGCCCAGCCATCTTCTTCTGTAAATTCTCCCTCCTGGCACGAGTTCGTTCTAACAGTTTCTAAAATGTTCATAAGGATCATCACAAGTAAATGTTTGCTAATAACTAAAGTGATCTTTGTATAAAATAGTTTAATGCACTAGTGGCAAGTTATGTTAACTTGGTGATAATTCTTTCTAAAAGCAAACAAAACCATTTTCAGTTACGACAGTGATGAAAAAGTAACTTTGCAACCAATCCTTGCATTTACAACATTTGCAGGTCTGTAAAGCAAAGGAAAGCTGAAGTAAGATCATAAGCCCAGTTAGATTCACTTAGCGACCACTTTGCTTAACGAGTTGCCAGTCCCAATTGTGGTTGCTAAACAAGGACTAACAGTGTATTGTCGAAGACTTTCACGGCCGGCATACGATGGCTGGTGTGGGTCTTCCAGGGTGTATGGCCGTGTTCTTGAAGTTTTGTTTCCCAACGTTTCGCCAGCACCTGTGACCGGCATCTTCAGAGTGCAGGAGC